AAATGATTAGCTTTCCTATTTTCTGTAGCTGGGACAATAATTTAAGCTTTCCTAGGTATTTTAATTATAAGATCAATTAGGATTTATTATTGACTTTTTTATCTAGACTTTAGTTATATAAAAACATGTACCTAGACTTGTGAATATCCATGGGAACTATTCGTTTCATTCAATTGGAATCTTATTACTGATTAAATTTATTTTAATTATAATTTGAAAAGTTAATAAACAATATTTGACACCTAAAGTGTAAAAAATTACTTTGACCACAATTTGTACCTTTGCGCTTATATAAAATTTATAGCATTGCAATAATATGTGTTGGAAGTCCCACAGTACCAGCCCCATGTCATGTGGTATGGTGTAAATATTTGTTAGGTTGCTCCACATACTACCACTTGGTTTTATGTCAGAACTTTAACATGGTTTTAGAGTCAAAACCTAACTTATTTCCGGTTGTTGCCTTGGGTCAAGAGTTACCTTTTTTGTTGTGGGTCAAAAGTACCTTTTACTTTGCGGTTGTTGTCTTGGGTAAAGAATTATTTTTTCATTGTGGATCAAAAGTACTCTTTGCCTGATCTGACAGACTTTGTTGGAGAGGGTGTGTTAGAAGTCCCACTGCCTACCTCATGTCAAATAGTATGGTATAAATAGTTGTTAGACTAGTCTACATATTGTCAATTGGTTTTATGTTGACATTTTAACAATATGCATAAATTATTTAGTGGTTTTCACGCTTTCGAAAAGCATTTAACCTCTTACATGACACACATCAAATGACCCATCACTCATTTAAGTGTATTTGAGTGTCATTTGACCACCAATTGGCTTGTAGATTATCAACTTTACCATTTGAACTAATTTCAATGACGTACACTCATATGTAGACAACAACTGTCCTTCTATATGGGAGTAGAGCCAGCTCCGAGATACTAGTCTACGGTATGCGTGCATCAATCATTGCTGGGTACCATTCAGGATGGTCAAGTGATTCAAGAATATGTATTGACATTTGAATAGAAGACACATAATATGAAGGAGATAAATGATGATAGCTTAGAAAATTGTCAATGAGATGATATTTTGGCTAGACTGGATTCCATTCCTAATAGCAATTGGGCAATCAGAATTTTTGTCGAAGTAGATTATTGTGTGATTAATCGAGTTGGACATTATTCACTCTGTTCCTCATGTGATGGTGGATCAACAACCTAGCTGTGCACTAATATGTGATTAGAGGATTTGAAATTTTGACTAATTACTGTTTGGGGAATCTTTTTTTAATGTCTTCATGGCAAGATGATTCTTGCATAGGAGGCAATATTGGAACAAAGCATGGAATATGTAATACCTCATCAATAGAATCCGAAACATTCGAATAAGAAAAAGAAAGGAGCTTTTCAAAGGATGTGATGTTTGCATACATATATAGTTTGTTGATTGAGGAATAAAAAATTATTTCAGACCTAGAATATTGAAGAAAAACGCATTTGATGGCTTGAACGAAGAACTTGTCTAATTTTGGAGAATTTATGAACAAATAAGTACACTGAAAAATAATTTTTGATTCCATTAAAGGAAATGAAATTGACTAATTCAGTACATTGAGAAAATTTGTCAATAAAGTGAAAATATTTGAACCCAAAATAATGGACACAACTCCACACGTGTCTGCATGAATGCAAAACTACATCCTTAGTTTTGGAGGTGGATAGAACATGTTTACCTAGTTAACATGATTCACAATCCTATACTTGTACCTTTCCCATGACCTGAAACCATTTGCTTTGGTTTTGACAAGTTTGGATGACCCATTGATCATGAAGAAACTTTGGAGATGTAACAGTAGCAGCACTGGACATAGAAGGAGCTAATTCTAAATAGTAAAAGCCTTGTGATTCATGTCCTATGAAATTGTTCGACCTGTACCATGTTTCTGCATGACTATAATTAACTATGGGAGATTGAATGGAAAGGATAATTAAGAATAATAAAAGGGAAATTTCAAGTTTAAGGAAGGAGAGAGGGAACTTGACCAATTCCTTTAGCAGTTACCTTGGATTGATTTGCCAAGATAGAGATGAGGAATTTAAGGAAGAGACATGTAGGAGAATTAAGAACCATTTCCTGAAATGTGACTAAAAGCACTTGAGTTGATTATCCTTGGATCTTGACTATTTTTAGATTGAGAGAGACAGGCTTTTTAAGCACTAGTGACAAAGATGATTGAGCTTGGTTAGTGACATTTCAATTTAAGATATTCTTGATAATTTGCTACCGACATTTTAACATATCTGAACAACTGAGAGATAATTATACCCCCTTGATGACCAGAATAGACTCAACAACCAGTAAAAACAAATAGTGATGTGAGCAGTACAAACAGCTTGAATCAGTGGTAGTGGAAGACCCTGCCTTCAGGGCTTGGATAAGTCTGCATCGCTCAGGAAGCAGCTTCAGATGGTAAGCAGTGGACTGAGTGGAGGTAAATGGAAGTATAGATTACTGTGAAATTGACTTGAAGAGGAGACTGGCTGAGCAGGATCGAACCTGCTGTGATACCAAGTTAAAGACATTTTGGTGAAATGCTTGAGGAAAGAAGCACCCAGCAGAGTGTGTATTTATACACATTCCAAAGTTGATTATAATTTAAATCTTGACCGAGCAGTAGATGAAAAACTCTAACTGATACATCAGTCTGAACAATCATGTATTTTCAACATCAAAAGCTTTTGTACAACTACTTTATGAATAATGATGATCTGACAACATGCATCACTATTGCCTTTTTATCCATTGCTTTTTGTAACTTATGTTAGTTTTTTTTTCTGGTTCAGGATATTGAATTATCAAAAGAAATAAATGAGTCCTTCAAACAGTCATCCCAGGCTAGGACAAAACTCCCATCAGGGATTGAAATGAGTGTTCATGTCTTGACAACTGGGTAAACTGTGTTTTCCCTTTGTTATCATTGATATTTTTATGTGCTTTTTTTTAGTGAATCTTATTGAAATTATTGGATGAGTGCAGGTACTGGCCAACATATCCACCCATGGATGTTAGACTTCCTCATGAATTGAACGTTTACCAGGTTTAGCACACACCATAAATGCTCTTTTAACTGTAGGTGTCTCTGATGAGTGAATTCCCTGACACGGTCCTATCCTTTCCATTATTTTTCCTTCAGGATATTTTCAAAGAGTTCTATCTAAGCAAATACAGTGGAAGGCGTCTGATGTGGCAAAACTCATTAGGTCACTGTGTCTTAAAGGCAGAGTTTCCTAAAGGGAAAAAAGAGCTGGCTGTCTCCCTATTTCAGGTTGCGCTCTTAAAAACCGTTATTATATTTTATGTTTTCTTTTTTATTGTAGTCTTGCACATTTTTCTGTGATTAACTCTGCATGTCTGCTTGTGCTTCAGACTGTTGCTCTAATGTTATTCAATGACGCTGAGAAACTAAGTTTTCAAGATATCAAGGACTCCACTGGTATTGAGGACAAGGAACTGAGAAGGACTCTGCAATCACTTGCCTGTGGAAAAGTTCGTGTCCTACAAAAGGTGCGCTTGTAATTATTTGCAGAATTAGCAGTTGATAATTTTTTTAAGAATTATAATGTCTTTTAAATTTCTAATTTGATTCCCTTTGTCGAACATGCAACAGTTGCCAAAGGGTAGAGATGTGGAGGATGATGACTCATTTGTTTTTAATGATGGATTTACAGCTCCTCTGTACCGTATAAAGGTACGATAATACCCAAAACTTAGGAGCATTAAGGATCAAACTTTCATTTACGTTTTAATTGCAAATACCATAGTTTAGCCCTCCTCTGAATTATGATTATGAGATTCTTTTCCAGCCTAATTTGGTGTTTGGGGGTGCAGGTGAATGCAATTCAGTTGAAGGAGACAGTGGAAGAGAACACAAGCACAACTGAAAGAGTCTTCCAAGACCGTCAGTATCAGGTAAATTTTCTTTTCTCAAAGGTCCTCTACTCTCAGACTTCATAGCACGAATTCACAAAGGTATATGACGCGCCTTAAGTCCATAAGAAACTAATATTTGCAGAATTAGCAGTTCATTCCATGTTTACACTTGGAATGAAAAACTTGATTCTTTAATGAGAAAAGATGTTAACAAAGGTTTTTAATTATCGTTATGTCTTAGAAGGCATAGTTCATTGTGAAATAAATTATGATATAATATAGTATTTGATTTTTTGTTATGTTCACAAAATTGGGAAAGGATAATATAGATATAGGAAGTTATATATGTAATATTACCGACTGACCCAACGAAGGAAGATGCCTTGGTTGGACATCCTGTTATAGGCAATCAATATTATCCTAATATGTCCAGGTATACAAGCTACGTAGGTGTTACTAATGCCTATGCACTAAATATGTAATGATAATTACCATCTAACATATATTCCTAATTGGTACGGTTCATTCAGGTTGATGCTGCTATTGTGAGGATAATGAAGACAAGGAAAGTGCTTAGTCATACTCTTCTTATTACCGAACTCTTCCAACAGGTGACGTCATTACCTTTCGGTTATTTAATTCAAATGGAGTCTGTGAATTTCCAAGTAGTTCCATGTCAAAATAATAATGTCCTGATCTTCGGATGATGGTGTGCTTTAAGCATTGTTATAGACTAAATCTTTTGAGATAATTTTTTCCATAAAAAAAATAAAAATGAACTAAGTATGTTCACACAAGTTAAAATTATTTATTAAAATACATTCTGGCAGTGATTACTGTTTCTAAAGTACATTCGACTTCCTTATGTTGTGTACAGGTGATTTAAGGAATGTTTTGTATGTGATTGGTAGAATTAATAGTGATTTAAGGAAGTGATATGTTGTTTGTGTGAACAGCTCAAATTTCCAATAAAACCAGCGGACTTGAAGAAAAGGATCGAAAGCCTGATTGACAGGGAGTATCTGGAGAGGGACAAGAACAACCCTCAAATATACAATTACCTGGCATAGTTTATTTTACTTCATTTCACATTTTAAAGTTTCTTTTGTTAAATGACGTGGGTAAACCTCGATGTTTACTCCCTTGTCATATATGTACAGTAACAAAGGATTCTCTCCACTTTCGCTATTTTTCTTTCCCTTCATTTATGGACAACTGTACTTTAATTGTAAAGCATTTTCCTGGAATTTCTTTTCATTTAGATCAAAATTAAAAATTGTTCCCGGAAATGATAGAGAAATTCTTCAAAAGAATTGGTGTTTAACAGTGGACCCTTCTTGCCATAGTTTTTCCCATCCACATACCTTTTGATGTTCTTACTCGTGTAACGCTGGGATAGATTATTCTTTGCTCCATAAGTTTAAGAATTTGTTTAATATGATGTGCATGTATGCACCAGAGGTTTAATAATTGAATAAATTAAGTTAAAACATAATTGATTCATTCAGAATATTTTAACAACTGTACCAGATATTTTCTGATCCATTGTATCTCCATGCCAACATTTTATTTTTTATTATGTTCTCCAATTTGAGCTGTTTATGTTGTTTTATTTATTTACTCTTGAAAAATAATGATCATAATAATTATCAAGAGTTTTCCTCTTTTCTGAATTTTTCATGATCGATTTAGAGGGATAGTAAGGGTTGTACAGCTTTACTTTACACAATGGATATCTTGATGTGTATGTACATTACGTTGGTATTACTTTGTGCAAAATGTTTATCAAATTTATTGATATTGTCTTTACAGCTTTTTTTTTTTTTTTTTAATCTTCAGTTTCTTTTAGCTGCCAATAGAGTTGCTCAAGTTTAATTACTTATATGTTCCACAACGTAATAAAACAATTCAAATTACGATTCTGGATAGTGTTTTCAGAATGAACAATAGATATATTGAGGGGGTAAAGTTTTCTTTTATATATAATTAATCATTTAATTACAATGCGTTATCTTTTATATTTACTTGTAATCATTATTTTGAAAATCATATAAAAGGACGATATCTAATTAGTGACGGTGTGATAACTTTACGTCTTTTAAATCCTGTTGGGATTTGTGTTCTACGTTCGTCAAATGTCATCTGTTCCAATAATATTGTAAATTGTGTTCCGAGTCGAAAACGTAATCATTATAATTTTGAAATAAAAAGTTATATCTTAATATTTCTTTTAAATCAAATTAGATGATTATGTAAAGTATATATAATTTTTCTTTTGAAATATTGACAGAGATATACTTGTTTTTATGAGAATTTATGGACTTCAATTTTATAAATTGAATCCTCAATCTTGAAAGAGCATTTTTTTCAAGTTATATAAATGTTTCCACGACTTTTCTTGTTTTATCTAATTTAGTTTATTTATAATTCTATTTTTTCAAATACTATTACTTAATGTTAATTTAATTTAAATAATTTTAAATCTTTAGACGGTATACTAATTTCATGAATTTATATTTTAAAAATTATAATTTTAATATATTACATTAATAAAGATGTTGTGCTTTAATCAGAATCTTCATTTTCTAAAAATTGTAATTTTTTGAGTTCAATAAAATTAAAAGAAAACTAATAAGTGTAGATTTTCAAAAATTTGTAAAGAAAAACAAAGTAAAACTAAAAATGTCATTTACCTTTCCCAATCTGAATGAATATCAAGTATCACCCGTTCCGCTGATACCGGGAAGTTCCAGCTTCAGAGGTAGTGGAAAGGTTGATTTTGCTTGTTAAGATGACCATTTTATTTGTTATATTATTTCTTGTTTCTCACCTCCTAAAATCCCAACAAAACTGAGGCTGGTTGGCAGTAGAAATTAAATAATTTTACAAGTCAACCATTTAATTTCAATTATCACCAATTGATTCAATTCTGATCCCTTTTAACAAACTTATGCAATTTACACTGTCAAAACAAAACATTGCCAGTGCCAATGTTTGAGGTAAATTACAATCTTCACATTCTATTATTCAGTAACATAAAACACAGTTCCTATCCCAAATTCGCCATTTCATTCTCAGAAAACACATCCATCAAAAGCCCATACACACGCAGATCCACCCCAGATAAAAAAAATCAGGCTTTTCATTTACTGCCCTCAAAGAAGAAGAAGAAAACACTTGGGGTATAGGTATTGAATACCAGGCAAAAACTTGAGAAGAAACATCAAATTTTAAACGGCTTTGACGGCGATGGAGGAAGCAGCGGCGGGGGCGGAGGAGTGGTCAGAGACGGCCGGTGGATTGAGTGGGGCGCGAATGGCGGTGTCTTCTTCGTCGTCGGGATCGTAATCTGGATTGAGAGTTCGATCAATGGCTTCGCGACCCTTTTCAAGACAAGGTTTACACGCGATCTCTATTGTGATCCAACCCAAAAGCACTCCAACGACTGCTATCACCGCGCTCGTTATCGCACCCATACCCTGAACTTTTTTTCTCAAACTTATTTCTATTACAGAGACTAACGAAGACGATAATGTCTGAATGAAACTAAACTAAACAGATTCTTATTGGGCCACTACTTTCGGCCCAATCAGTTTCTTTTACTTCTGTTATTTTTTTCTTCTCTATCTTCAAAAATAACAATTAAAGAAAAATCTAAGAAATAGAAAGAGAAAATAAACAAATAATTATTAAAACGGGAAGTACAGCCTTCCCCTTTTGGACTAAATAAAAAATTAATAATATAATTTAACTAGTATAATCTAATCCTATATTAAATTAACGGATCAATAGATAAAATTTAACATGATTGGAAAAAATATATATTAATTATATTTATATCAAAATAATTAATTAAAAATATTTAAATAAAAATAAAATAAAATGTATTTTTAAAATTTAAATTATATTAATAATTTAATATTATACATATTAAATTTATTTTAACATTCATAATAATTATGTTATTTTTCTTAATAATATTAAAATTTACTTTATATTTTTTATTATTATTATAATAATAAGTCGATTAATTCATAATCTTGTCTATAAATATCCATCAGGTTCAAACTCTTACCAAATTAAACTACCATAGATTCTTCTCCCGTTAAACCAATCTTGGAACGCGCTTTACATTATTCATTTACAAAAATTAAACCCATATCCAAAAATCGCGTTTTCTTTCAACAACCGAACTACCTCATAATTTGCGACCAACAACCGAAACCAATGCGGGGACCCAATTGCACAAGCTGTTCTTTTGGCTAAGCTAAATATTCATTCTTCAAAACTCTTGGAGCAATAAACACTTCAGCACGTGAAACATATTCTAATTACATGACAAGAATCACATCGTGCACAAAACAAAAATTACTAATTCCGTACCCTTTGATTTAATCATTCAACAAAGCTTAAAAAGCTGCAGCAGAACGTTCACTGAATAGCATCAAGAATCTGCTCACCAAACTCAAATTAAGCTTTGCGTGCATCTCACTTACCTACAACGATCACACATTGGTCACCTTGCCTTTACCATTAGAGGTGCACCACTCCTTCCACTTACACACCATTTGGATTGGATCAGCTTTCATTTTCCACACGGCTCTCTTATACATCAAACACGTACCTCAAACTCAAGAATCATATTATCCCTCATTTGACAGTGACTACCATCAAGAGAAACGGGGTCATAAAGATAGACTTTGTCTTTTGGAATAGAGGATCAGTATGGAAACAAACAACTAAAATCCCAAAACAGACAGAATGAGAAAAGGTATAACCTCAATGCACTTACACAACGTTGGAATGAATACCAAAATTAACCTGAAAGTGACATTACATGTGTAGACAAAACTAAAAGTTTTCCACCATGTCTAAGTTCGCTGAACAATAATAAAGAACCATAATGACAGATGAAAATCTTTTAAAGTGCTAAATCTATACCCCACGATCTACCAGCCTGTGATACCAACCCACAAACAGTTTTAGTCAATATGTGAAGATGATAATACATCTTCTCCCATACCAGTATCTTCATGTTAATTAGGCCAACAATTTGGTCTCAACTTTTTAATCACCTAAGATTAACATGTTACAGAACAACACTTTGATTGAGCATTTATGTTTGGATAAATTTCTACACAAACATGTAGGAGAAGAAAATAAAATAAATTTTGTATAAGATAGAATTAGCTTATATATAACTTAAAAATTGTTGAAACTCTTACAAAGTTTTATATACAAGTTAACTTTAGCTTATGAATAAGCTAATTTCATTTTACTTTTTTTGTTCTCCTATATGCGTAGGCTTACGATGAAATTTATCCAAATTGAATCTTCTAATGCCATGTTATATTGCACAATGGAATTCTAGTCTCAGGATCCATCATCACTTTGATTTTTTATGGTAAAGTAGAGCAATTGAAGAACTGACAAATAAAAAGACTTTATACAACAAGTATCCTGCTTCTATCCTTTCAAAGATTGCATGTCATATGGTTTTGGAAACAAATAAAACCAGAAATTCTGACAATATAATGAAACCGTAGAGACATCCATCAAGGCGAATATACTATCACTGATACAATTCAAAAACTGATTAAACTGTTCCGTCACACAGCTATTACATCTTTTAGGCCTATAATAATTATAGTAATTACATTTTATTCATACAACATTCGTAGCATAATATTACAGGATAATGAAAAACTAAGCAAACAGCACCTGAGAGCTTGAAGGAGTCAGATCAGACAAACACTCTGGCGCATCAATTACATGCCATCGAACACCGAAGTTCCATTTTTCCTTACAATTTTCTTTTGGTTTCAGTCTAGAGATATGGCCAACAGCAACCAGAAGATTTCGACCCACAACATAAATATGAGAATCACAAGCATTCACAGCAAAAGGTTTGCATATTTGCTCAGGCAGAGGAGGCCCTTCTATGGCTTCCCAGGAATCGGCTTCGGGGTCATAAACCTTTAGCTTCATTCTTTCAAGCTCAGAAACAACAAACAAGTTCCCGTAAACAACGACACTCGAGCCTGTCCACCCTTCTCTGAGTCCAACAGCCATATTTTCCCAGTTATTAGTTCTAGGATCATAGACCTGGCCTCTTGGAGAGACATAAAATGGCCACAACCACCCTTCAGTCACAAGAAGTTTCCCATTGAGAACAGCTGCGTCATAAGATGCCATATTTGTTCCCATGTTGGCAATAGGGCGCCAACTCCCATTGAGAGGATCCAACACCTCAGCAGAATCTAGCTCATAAAGATCCGTACTGTTCCCCCCAGCTGCATAAATCATCCCATCAATCACTCCACTAGCAAAAAACGACCTAGCAGTAATCATCCTATTCACCACCGTCCACTTATTCTTCTGCATCTCGTATTTCAATACCAAGTCAAGAGGGCAATCCACATCAGAGACCATGCCACCACAAACAAACAGTGTGCCTTCACGGGGGATCGAAACACACCTAAAACCATGAGGGCAAACCCTGTCCTTACAAGGCATTGCAGGGATAGTGTGCCAAGAAAAGTGTGTGAGGTCAAGAACCTGCCATTGGATCTTCCCCGTGCACTTATGGTAGGCAAATACAAAAAGCCAAGGGTCTTTCAAACCAAATTGCTTCCTGTTGGTGAAAAACCTCTCTTTGTTACTAAGTAGCATACGCCACCTCTTGCAGACAGCTCTACAAGATGAGTGACTCTGAACTGGAATCCGGAGAAGACAATTGAGAGCAACATCATCAGGAAGGCCAGGAATTAAGGGTTCCTCTCTTAGAGAAAACTCTAACTCAGGTGATGGATTTGCGAAAGATGATTGGATCACCGCTAACCTAAACTTAGGAGATAATGTCATTTGAGGATCTCCTAGTTTGTGTACTGGTGTCTGTTGAGATGAAAATCTAACACGCTGCATCTTTAAATCTCAAATATAAGGCTAAAACCCCTGCTAAATACTAAAACTTTTACCTTCTCTGATTTGCAAACTTCTAGTTCATGCTTTTGTATTCTCAAATGGGTTGGAACAATATCCCACCAAATAGTGACACCAATTTTTCAATCCGGAGGTTAAGAATCTATTCCAAAGTTACTTGAACTGATTCCCTCATATTTTTGTGACAAATAAAAGGAATCCCCCAAATCAAATCCACAATAAAGATAAGAAGCACCAATTCCTCCACCACAATGATCTAAAAGCCGATATAGGTTGCAACTAAAACAAAATTCTCCTGCTTAAAATCTCCAACTTTATAAAAGTATTTCACAAATCACAAACATGGGGACATGCCCTCTTAATCAAAAGCCAACACCTTTACCAACTGAGATTCACCAAGATTTTAACTTTAGGGAACCCCAAAATCCTTAATTTGCACCAACCGCAAATTTCCCTGTTCAAGGCCCCCCAAAAACAACACCTCAGTGGCAGCAAATAAAAATCCCAACGTTAGTGCAGAAGACCAGAACAACAAAAAAAGCTAGTGAGTACCCCTGAAATATCTGATTAAGGTAAAGACAACCCAGAATTTATGAAGGTGATAAGAAACACAGGAGCCAAACAAACAAAGACAACACAACAAACAAGGGAAAAATGAAGTGGACAAAAAACAAAAACTTACAAGAGAGAATCAAGGGAATGGTGAAGAGATTGGGGAGAAAGAGAAGATGAGATTGAGGGGCAGACTTTGCTTTTTAGCACAAGAATATAGGGATAAAGAGAAGAATATGGTGACCCGTTTTTGATGATTGTTCTGAGCAAAGAAAGATTTGATTATTGTCTGGCAAACATGACGCCAGTAGTGCAAATTCATGCAGGCAAAGCCACGCGCTTTTGGGGTTGCTGGTTTCACACGCCATAGAAAATGCACAGCCACTACAACAACATGGCATGAACGTGGTCATCACGCTCTACTGTTTCAGGGTGTACCAAACCTTTTATTCTATTCATCACCATCACTTAGGAAAAGCAAAACAGTGAGGAGAGACAAAGATTAATCTCTACTCATCTAAACTTGAACTGCTTCACGCGTTAATTCAGGATAATCATGCATCTTATTTATGCCCATACTCCACTTTTCTCCAAATAAATCAATACAAAATACAAAGCTTCCAAGCCAGAGTTCTTCTAGTCTAGTAAACAAATTAATAACTACAGTGTTTGTATCAAAAGTTACAATGGATGTGAACTCATAAAATTAAATATTGAACTTCCTATAAAGAATATTCTCTTTCCTGTAAAAGATTAATTGAATTATTGGAAGAAATTAGGTTATACTCAATTGGACAAAATTAAATGCTCTTGCTCTTGTCTTTAATTCCTTAACTTATTAGATTTTCTCAGCAACAGGAATTAGATTATGTTCAATTGGAAAGTATTTGTTGACTAATTAGATTTTCAAGAAAGAGAAACAATTTCTTTTCATGAGTTTTGTCTTTCAGAAATTTATAAATTTTAGTAAAACTCTAGTAAATTAAATTGTTAATATTTAGGATAGTTTTATTTTCAATATGAAACTTACAAATTTATTGGTTTTAGAAATGGGAAGATAATGGCAGATATGGAATTGTAAATAAGTTACTTTTTGCTTGATGAATATGCTCTCATATTAGCATAGACCATTTGAAAGTTTGGGGCCATGAACACATGCCAAAGGTACACAAAATACTATCTTGTCTCTTATTCTGATGAAGTATTTTATCATGCCATGGAGGACATCCCAACATTGATTGTTATTGTTTATAGAATAGTGTCGGTGATGGAACTTTTTTCTTTCATAAACTACCTATATTTTTTACAGGTTACAATTTTGGTACAGCTGAATAGAAGTATTATGGATGAAAAAACTCTTCTTTCCAATTTTTAATTGTGATATACATGGAATACTTGAATTTAACACCACTGATTGTATTAAAGGCTAATCCATAAATATAGAATAAGTTTTTAAGTTTTTAACTCAAATTTAGATTTAAGTTTTAAAATATAAATGATCTGATTCTGTTGGTGTAAAAATATCTCATTTAAAACCAAATCAATTAAGTTAACCTTTTCTATTTTACCTATGATGCAAATTGCTCACATTTTACCCTTTAGTTAAAAGAATCACAGCATCAATGTACTCATTTTCACTGTCATATAGACTTTCATCGTTATTGTTATCATGCGTCGATCATCACCAATCGCAATAATGAATGATAAAGGGGATAATCATTCCTATTGTTCAAGTTATTGATAAAATTAGCTTTCAAAAAAAAATTCAAAACTGAACATTGACGTGGCATTTGAATGGAAGAATGCCTAAGATAGTGCAAACCGATTCATCCATAAACGTGGTTTCAAAATGAGAAATGACAGTTGTACTTTAAGTTGCAACAATTTAAACAAATATTAGAGAGACGCGTGTGATAAGATAGGTAATGTGATGAACAAAGATAGTGAGAAATAATGTTACAAGAGTATGTTGTATGAATATCACTCTTTCAAACAAGCCTACAACAAGAATTTGCAGTTGGTCCAACACACTACAGATACGAGAGTTTTAGGCCTAACAAGATCATAGCCACTATAATGATGCTGATGAACTAATTTAAACTACCCCGGATTGGGTGAGAATTGTAAATGTTCTATGATAAAAATGCAAAGGTTATCTAAAATTAAATAAAAAGGGAATTGGAAGAGAAAGAAAAAGGAAGAAATGGAAAATTGTAAAGTAGGTTGAACCATTACTGGCAGAGCTGCTCGACTGCTGTGACAATCTGAGCAGGTTGAACCACTGTCCATTCCTCCAATGTCCCTGCATATGGCGTTGGCACATCCTGAGAGGATAAACATATAATGGGAGCATCCAAATAGTCATTGAAATTTTCAGTGATAGCAGCTGTCAGGCTAGCACCAATTCCACCTGTGCGCATACACTCTTCAACAATTAGCACGCGATGAGTTTTCTTCACTGAATTGCCAATTGTGTAAAGGTCAAATGGTTTCAAAGATCTGATGTCAATCACTTCAGGATCATACCCTTTGTTCACCAATGTTTTGGCAGCTTGCATGACATGATACCTCATTCTGGAATAAGTTAAAATTGTGACATGCTCCCCAGGCCTAACCATCTCAGCTTCTTCAAGAGACAATACGTACTCCTCATCGGGAATTCTCTCCTTGAGGTTGTAAAGCAACACATGCTCAAAAAGTATCACGGGGTTCTCACTTCGGATGGCAGCTTTCATCAGGCCCTTGGCATTGTAAGGGGTTGAGCAGGCAACCATCTGGATTCCAGGGATTGACTGAAAATATGACTCGAGTCTCTGTGAGTGCTCGGCCCCTAGTTGCCGCCCAACTCCACCAGGTCCACGGATAACAATTGGTATTTTAAACTGGCCTCCAGACGTGTAATGGAGCATGCCACAGTTGTTGGAGATCTGGTTGAATGCCAGAAGTAGAAAACCCATGTTCATGCCCTCAACAACTGGCCTCAGACCAGTCATGGCAGCTCCAATGCCCATGCCTGTGAAGGCATTCTCAGCAATAGGGGTGTCCAAAACCCTGAGGTCCCCAAACTTAGGTGCTAGGCCCTTAGTCACTTTGTAAGATCCTCCATAATGACCAACATCCTCACCCATGACACACACACGAGGATCCCTTTCCATTTCTTCTTCCAAACCTTCCTGTAGGGCTTCGAAAAGGAGAAGTTCATGCCTGAGAGTCAAGTGTATATCTGGTCAATATCATAATTGTTGGCACCATACTATCCGAATTCTACAACCAACACAGGAAATAAGAGCATACAACATATGCCCAAGCATGCTTTTAGAAAGTTCAACCAATCCTTTATTAACCGTGATTCAAGATTAAGTGCCACGTGAATGTCACTCGCCAACCAACCTTTATTATAGTTCCAAACTTATATTTTTGTTTTACGGCTACATTTCATCAGACTAAAAGAAAGTCAGAAAAATGTAAAACAGATTACTTTTGCATTAAAATCAAACACCCAAAACAATGAAGTCGCTTCTAAGCAGCCTTAGAAGTGCTCCAAAATCAACTTCAAAAAGAAACAAAATAAACTCCATGAGGTTTGCTTAGTAGTTGTTATACATTATAGATGAATGCAAATACATTAGCAGTCTCAATGTAAAATGCACATCTGTAACCCATTTCATGTGCAAAGAAAAACCATTTTAATTCAAAAGCATGACACTAACAAAAACAGAGCATAAAATTATTATCTATTCCTAAAAGATGATAATAAACATGGAACAGTGCTCTGCATTTTTCCTGGTGGATAAATAAATAGAAAATAATTTTGAAAGTTACAGCTAAGTCAACTGATTTAAGAAGTGGCTCTTATGCAAAATTAATTACATTGTCATAATTATGATAGCATTAGAACCAGGGTAAAGCTATAGCTAAGGCAAAACCAATGACGTCAAAATTTCTCATGACTCCCCCTCTCGGTCATTCAGGCAATGAACAAGCCCAGCTTTTGGTGCCTAGGCAAGGGCCTTTGTGTTAGCACAATGAAAGGATTAAGTCGTTGGCCACTCTGAGGCTTTCGATTCCTTTATTCTGAAGATCAGAAAAAGTTGGGCAAATCTTATAAGGTTACTCAATAAAATTGCAGCCAGTACTAACAAGAGTAATCTGATTCTTGTATGTTAGTTTATAAAAGGAGAATCTCTACTCTTGCATTCTCATCCAAAGGCCACTCAGTAAAGTAGCAACCTTTAGTACTGACAAGGTAATCTGGTCCATAAAAGGAGAATTTCCGTTATTCGTTTCTCCCTGTTTCGAGCGAAATCAAAATGAAGAAACATTACTAATTCAATGAAATTTTATCATCTTGTAGAATATGGCTGGAAATAACAAGATGCTGCGAAAAATACCTCTCGCCTCAAAGGCTACTAGGAAGACCAGGCACCTTTAGGTGCCTTACGGTTTTCACTATTGTGAAACACTAATTTTCAGAGTAGCTTAAGTTGTAATGTGGAGGTCAAGCAAAGAACAAGTGCTCATAGACAAAACAAAACAAAATTAATTGCAGGAAGAAAACCAAAACAAAGAAACTGATTTCAGCTAAATTAAATAAAAAGGTCAATTTCCCAGCCGAAAAGGATAAGCAAAATCAACTAAGCTTCATCACATCACACACTGCATATGGTGTTGTTAGACACTACTACTTTTAAAAATTCAATAATAAAAAAAAAACGAATAAGAGGGACAGCAATTGATAGCAGAAAAGAGTGACAGAAAGTGATATCAGAGAGAAAGTTACCCGGTTTTTGATGATGAAGAATTGTCTGCCTTAGTCTGCAAACAACCCAGAAGCTAATCAGCAGCATTATAACAAACACCATGCAAACTCCATCTCCATGAATCCTAAATCAAACTGAAAATAAATGATGGGATTTTCACAAACAACTTACCGCCACTGCATTAGTAAGCAGCCTCTGAGTCTGAGACTTGTGAGCTCCTCTTGAGATGAGGTTGTTCATCCTTGCATCAGATCTGACAACAAAGATTTGTCCTTTCCTCACTGAATCATAAAAAAGAAAAAAAGAAAAAAAAAGGACAAAACATTTCAGTCAGGTAAAAGTAAAACACTGAATAAAACGAAAAAAAGAGAGAATGGAAAAATTGAAAATTGGAAAAAACCTGAGATGGGTGATGGGATGTGGAGTTTGTGAGAGGTGGAGAATGCGGCGGTGGGATGGAAAAGAGTGGCCATGAAAATATGGATGAATGAGAGAGCGAAGATATCTAATTAGAAGAAAGAGTGTGAGGGGCAGAGGGGCTGGTATGAATTGAGAAATATAAATAAGAGGAAGGAAGAGTGGGAGGAAGAAATGGACGGAAGGGGGCGGAGTAACCGAGAGAAAAAGGTTTGGTTTGTGTGTTGGGTGTCTGTGTTTTTACTTGCTATCGTAGCCACTTCATTAATGTTTTGTTTCCATTTAGAAACAACCAAATGAAACATAAAGAAATTAAGAAGAGAGAACAAAATATATGTTACCACTAATAATATAAAATACTTTAACACCTTAATTTTATACTCCTATCTAATTGATAATTTTCTGATTTTTACTATAATCGTTTTAAAAATTAATTTTAATCTAATTAATATGCAGAGTTTTTTTTTTCACTGTGAGTGCATCATTATTGATTATTAATATCATAATGAAACTTGAAGTTTACTTTACTTAGACGGGAAAGCAAATGAAAAAAAAAACTTTTCATTTTTTTTATAGTTTGTATTTATTTAATTAGGTAGAAAGGTAAAAAAGAGAAAAGATTATAGAGCTATACTTTGTCTCTTCTAAATTGATTAAAATAATATATATATATATATATATATATATATATATATATATCAAATAATTTTTTTTTCTGTCTAAGACTTGAAGTTTAGTATTATTCATAATAATGACATTGGTATTATTAAGATATAGTTTACTATTTTCACAATTTTTTTTATAGATTTTTTGTTAGCATGATAAGATTATTTATAAAAGAAGAAAAATGGAATGGAAGTTGTATTTTTTTACACAAAGGAAAGCTATGGAAGTTGTATTATGAAAATGACAATATATATTTAATCCTAAAACACCAATCAAAAAGAGATTTGTTATATTATAACAATTAAAGAATATTATTTAATACTTTGTTTTTTGCTAAATAGATAAAAAAAAAACATTGACGTGAGACAGAAAACAACTTAGTTTTGAATAGTTCCATTTTTCGAAAGTGCGACAAAGGAAAGAATCGAAATTTTCATTTTTGTAGTCTGATAAACAAGTACAATGTTCTTTCTATCTTTAACATGTTACTATTTTATTTTATTTTATTGTAATTATTTTTATGTTTTTAGTATCTTGTTACGTTTACTACAACTAGATATGTAATGTCACTGTATGAAAATGAGTAAATTGTGCCTAAATTTTAGTATTGAAAAGAAGAAATCAATTAACATTCAACTTAACAAAAAATTTAGGGATATATATAGTAAGCAATTTAATGATCAAAACATTATAAACTAATTTTAACTACCAATTTAAAGATAAATTTCGGTGACTAATATTTATTTATTTGTGTAGAGATGCTTTTTTTATTAATATTTTTTGTAATTTATTTATCATTAACATTTAAAAAAAAGTTAATTACTATTTCAAGTCATCAAGCCACATTTATAGGAGTGAAGTTAGTACCCCGTCCAAACTTTCTCTAAATAAATAATGTAGTATTCAAATACAAACATTATTCATACTCTTTCATTTTTTTTATTTAATTAATTATTTTATAACTAATATTATATTTTTGTTGTTGATATAATATAAATAAATGAAAAAATATCGTGCCTTGATAACATCAAAAGTACATAAATAAATTTACAATATCATGTTTCACGACAAACAAAAATTACACATCATATTTTCTTAAATATCATTTAACACAAAAGTCCTATCTAATACAATTAAAAACATTCGTTAGTAACTAGTACAATGTTGGTGCCATATTTGCAATCCAAATTTTACAACTTGCAAATTGATGTACTTACTTTCTTAAAATGTAAATAATATCATACTAACTCACGAAAAAATGTAATCATCTAAAGTCACATTTTATTTAACTATATTGTCTAATAGCAGGATCAATTTGAAAATAATTAACCCCACCTATTTTATCAACATTACTAAAAAGATCCATCATGACAGTTACGAGAAAACATATTATATAAAACACCTAAATAAACATTATTTTTTATTATTTTTAATAACTTGTAAGTTTTTTTTATTAATATTTTTATTATTTTAATATTTAATATGTTATCTCTACTCAAAATAATTCTTAATAATTTATTAATTTTTATAATAAATATAATTAAAAATAATAATATAATTGAAAAAAATAATATCTTTTTAAACTTTACAGATATTTTTTCTGAAAAAATCGATAATTATTTAAAAAACAGAAGAAGTAACTTTTATCATCACTTTCTGTCAAATGATAGAAACAAAAATGTAATGATGCAATTTGATTGAGCCACTGGAGGGAAATTTCTTTCCCAAACTAAAAGAACTACAATATACAGCATTTTTCAACTTAAGGAACTATTACTATTAATTATTCGTGGGGTTATTAATTGATTAATAAATAGCAGTTGAGTTAGGTACCGTTTTGTTCAAACCACTGTCCCACATGATGAGCAACCATTCTGACCAGCATAACACTTTTTGGAACAATCAAATTGAACGGTTCACTAACTACAACAATGGAAGCCCAAAAAAATGTACAAATTGAAACAAAACTAAAGAAGAAAAACAATGAAAATTAAACAGAATTGAACCCAACTTATTCCAAATACATTAATTACAATTGCATTTATATTTTTTGAGTAACCCAGATATGATCATATATTTAAAAGATATTAGACAATAGTATAATTTCCAGATACCATATTAAAAACACCTTTCAAATAATTGAGATTTTCTTTTCCAATTACTTTTATTTTTATATACCAAGTTCCAGGGTATTATACATTTTTTGTTTATTCTAAACAAAACAAAGTGAAGAAGAAACTAGAAAAAAAAAACACAATAAATATAATCCTTGAACGGGTTTGTTTAACAAAAAGGGTAAAAAAATATATTGAATTTATCAAGTGTAAAAAATTTTAAATTTTACTAAAATAAGTCAAATAGTGTAAGGTAGGATATTGTTGAACCGAATCATCATTACTAAAATTATGTGATGTAATATAATTTTAGTTGTTTAATTTTTTTTAAAACACGTATGATAACACGAGTTATATACAATTTTTGTTATATTGTTGCGTTATGTAATTTTTAAAAGATTTTTTAATATATTATTTATTAAATAATTAATTTTAATTTAATTATTAATTTAATAAAAAAAATATTTAGAGAAATATAAATAAGTTTAGTATAATACATTTTTATTAAAATATTACATATATATATATATATTTTTTTTTGTTACAATATAAAATAAATAAAATTAAGTCTTTTTATTTGTTATCTGAATTTACATGAATGGTCTTTATCGTGATTGTATAGTAAGTTGATAATATTGTGGGACAATATACCAAGAAATTTAATAGTGTTTAATACTTCACCATTACGGGACAAAAAATAAATCAAAAGAGATAAGAAGATTATCTTATAAAATATTATATTAAGATTAATATTTTTATGTGACCATGTATATATTTATGTAATATTTTAATATAAATTTATGTAATATTTTAATATAAATGTACTCTATTAAATTTATGAATGTTTATCTAAATATTTTTAGTTTTTTATTAAATAAATAAATAATTTAATAAATTATATATTTTTTTTAAAAAAAAAATCTTTAAAAAAACATGAAAATAGTACTAGATAATACGAATGAAACATAATATAATTTATATACAACTCCTATTATTAAACACGTTTTTTTTAATCAAATAACTAAAATTGTGATACATGAATTTAGTGTTGACGCAGTCAAACTCATTATATCTTTTACAATTTGAACTAATTTTGTAAAATTTTAAAATTTTAACCCCTTTAATAAAATCAATTTTTTTTACCCTCTTTTTAGTAAAAAAAAAAAAAAAAAAAAACCCTGAACTATAGTACTTGTATGTGAGGGAGGGTTTATGTGTTCTTGATGGGATGAGTGTTACTTACGAGAAAAGACTTGAGTGGGAGGAAGGAGGACTTTAGAATCAAAGAAAAAATTGAAAAAAAATAAAAATGGAGATATTTTATCTTCTTTGCTCTATCGTCTCCATTTCCCTCACCACTCTTCTCCTCTCCCTTATCCTTCCCTTCAACGCGCTACTGAGGCGGCGTGAATCCTCACGCGCCGCTTCTTCCTTCACCCAAGACGAAGTCGAACCCGTATCTCTCTACGAAGGCACAGTGTGGCACCAACGTCGTCACCCCGTCAATCATTCCTTCCAATATCGGGTTCGCTACGCACTCATTGACCTCGACCGTGCACCTCACGCGCCAAACGACCATCTTTCTCCCGATGAAGCTCGCCAAATCACCGATACCAATGGACCCATGTAATTCATCTTCTTTATTTCTATATTTTTGCCCATTGGGTTTTGCCAGAGCCATGAACATTCCACCTTGACGTTTCAATTTGTTTTCAGTGACTTTTAGCTAATGGCTATACATTATGAATTTTGTTTGGTTAAACTTGCATAGAATGAAAGAAGATGAATTGAGCTTTTGTTAATATAAACGTATATGCATAAGCGTTTGAAGAAGTTAGACCAGTGTGTTTTAAACAAGCGAATTGCAATTTTAACTTGTAAAAATATCAATTTATTTTATTTTCTCATTTTTTTTCTCGAATACGTGGTTAGGAGAAATTTATCTAAAGGGGAACTAAGACGATTTCTTTTTCTATGTTGTGATGTTTTGATTTGTTATTGCTTAATGTTGAACCCAATTCTGCAGTTTGCTCCTGACAATCCCCCCTAGTGTGGGTTATGAACAGAATCCTTTGAGTGTGTATTATTGCTATGCTGTTGAAGGCTCTACTAAACGGTTGAAGAAGTGCATTGCTGAGGTGTGTGACAAAGATGCTCTCTTTTCTTAGTTTCTGCGACTTATCTAATTTATGCTTTTATGCTTCGTTTCTTACTTAAGTCATCAGTGTGTAATCTTTCTCACTATCAATTTCACTCAACTTGCTCAAATACGATAGATTTTAGGCTTGTAGTTTATGTGTTCTTCTTTTTTTGCATTAAGTACAGCGTTTATTTCTTATTATGATACTCTTTGTGAAATCAAATCTTTTTTTCTTCGATGGAGATGAGGGATATGTATTTTGAAATTCTAATGAAAAATGTTCATGACTTTCTCCAATTCTATAAATAATGTCCCTAAGTAGATATTAGGAATCTGCTGAAAACGTTGTGCAAGGGTCTAGTTATCTTACTATCAGATAAGATGTTTTGGACATATTTTTGCTGTGTTGACAGTACGTTTTTTTTTTTTTTTTTTTTTTCAGGTTACAAATACACCATGGGGTGAAAGAGTGTCTTTTGTTTTCAATCCGCACTCTGATCTAGTGGCCAAGGCTTTGCATGTCAGTCCTTTTATGGTATGTAAGTTCCTTTTGCTTTAGAGCATTATGGTTCACAAAACTATTCCTTGTTTTATTTTATTACATTTTATCCAGATTGAAAAAACAAAAGTTACCTTTTCAGTTCCTCTCTACCCTTGTATTTTTCTTTGTTTCTCTCCTGCTTGGTGAGAACTGGTTTATTTACACTGTTCTGCAAGTTTGTTTGGTGTTCATCTTTCTAAACTGAATATTGAGTCTATTTGTACGCAGCAACTGATATAAGTCACAAGAGATAAATTTTGTCTGTGTTTATAGAACTGGTTGGGAAAATACTATATTTTTGGAGACGTCACATGGAATGTTACATTTTGAGACTGCACTGTAGCACTGCAAGTAGTTGACCATGTTTGATCAGTTGGCAAGCTTTCCTTTTGTTTTTGGACTCCTCCTGTTCTCTTATTCATGTGCCCAAAGTAGTTTGAAATGATGTGCCTGTTGAGGCTCCACAAAAGGATCAAGTTGTATGGCAGTCTGCTGTATACTACAGTCATTTACATGGCTCGGTTGCCATGTAGTTGTCATATATTTAAGAGGAAACCTCTCAGACAATGCTATGGGATGAAATTGTTTTGGAAGTTGTTAACTAAATTATGGTTAATGGCATGAACCTATGATTATGACTTTGTAAATGCTATTATGTGGTCTACAATTATCATAATTCACTGCCTGATATATTTTCATTTGGATGTGTTAAAGTCTAAGAAATATCTGATGAGATCATTTTTATAGCTTAGAATATTTCTAGAGTATCTTAGAAGATCTATTATAATTTATTCTTTTTATATATTTTATAATTTGTTTCCTTATTTAATAGGACCTATATAATTATAGGCACATAGTATCATGTAAATAGGAAAATTGTCTCCTATATTTATTATCTGTGTTGATTGGATTAAGTCTACATAAAACAGAGGACACAGTTTCAGCATCTCCAGTATCTCTTTTTCTCTCTTTCAATAGGATGCAAATAAAATACTGCCATTCTCGGAATATAGAGTAAATATACCACTATTCACCATGTTAGGGAACTGAAACTGGAAAATAATGATGGTAATGAAGACTCTGGACTAATAAATGAAATTTTCTTATATATACTACAATGTCATATACATATATTGGTTCACCTCATTTACTTGTGTACTTGGTTGGTTAAATTCAATTTTTAAGATGATCACAGTAAGCTTACATATTTTTTCTGCTTTTTATTAATAATCATCTCCCTGAGCTATGCTAGGATATGATTGGAATTTGGAATATCAAAGCAAGTGATCCTGGTGAGAATCTTACAATATCAATTTCAGTTCATCACCCTGAGCATGGAAACTATTTTACCGCCAGTCTGAAAGCCAAAAGGCTGTGCTCATCCCCAGTGTCACATCATGCAATTTTCTTTTGGTTGATGCCTCATAAGGTTGCAGTTTGGATATATTGGCATGTAAGCTTCCTTTTCATCTTTCATCTTAACTCACATGTTTAATTGTTAGACTTGGGAATAAGAGGAAATTGTTGATGTAGAATATTTAACCTATTTTGGACAAGTGTCCTCTAAAATGCCAAATGTTTGAAGTGGTAATTGGAGTATTGGTAGTGTTGTTCACAAAGGAAGGTCTTGGTGATTTTTCTCAGTTTACATCAAGGTGATAAAGACCTTTTTTTAGTTTACTCAAACCAATCATCTCTGTTGAGCCCATTTCCTGTATTTTACAAATATTGTCAAAACAGATTTATGGTAAACAGATTGGAGGAAGAGCCTTATTAAGGATGTCTGTTGAAACTTTTCCTGAACCATGTGCTGATCAGTATCGAAATTGTTTTATGGTGTTAGAGCTCCCACCTAGAGCTCTGATGATCCTTCATTCTTAAAACATGTGTGACGGGCCAAACCCATGTCCAAGACCCTACCTAGAACCAAGTGAGAGTCCCTCTTCTATTATTGTCACACCAGCTCGGATGGGAAATAACTATAATTCTTGGTCCTAAGCTGTTAGGATGGCTCTTTATCCAAAAATGGATTTCCTTATTAGTTCTATCTCTACACTGCCTCCACTAGTCCTTTGAATGTTTCAACATGTTGATTATGTCGTGGCTCCTCAACTCTAGGTGTTCTCTATTTCAATTGTGCCATTGGACGACTTGAGAGATCACTTCGCTTAGGGTGATTTGGTGTGATTGCCGAAGTCCCAATGACCTGTACATGTCCAGCCAGAACTTCCCACCAACAGAACTGTCATAGGTGTCTTAAGGGCCTTGCCGAATATTTTTCTGATGTTTAATCCCAATTCTTACTCACGGATCCCCTACCAGCTGCAAATAAGGTTTTTCCATGGTTATCCAATATGAGAGAGGCAATGCAACAATTGACGACCTCAGCATCAGTTGAAGAGCAAAATACCTTGGCTGAGGCAGATGAAACATGCACTTTCTCTTTAGGCAAAAGATGTCGAACTCTATGATGGTGTGGGAAACCTATTTCCTCTAGTGATAATGGCAAAGGAGCATAAAAAATGGTCTGCACCTATTATGGCATATCATCACCTTTGTTATGCAAAACATGGATACCCTCCCGGCCTTCCTGGTTTTCCTGGCCGATCACAATATCACAATCATGCTTCTGGTGCAGCTTTGGTGAACAACACCTCAGCTGTTGGGAGCCGTGGAACAAAGAAATACGACAAGAAAGAGGAAAGCTTACATAAACAAGCCCAATATCAACGTTTACTTGCCATTTTGCAGCAGGGGGGGTCTCGTAGAGTGTTGTAACTTATCAGCAATAACAAAATTTTGAGAATCATTTGATATCTTGTCTTGGGCCTTTTCATGTGGTTTGGGCTGCTTGTCTTGAATGGGATGTTCTTCTGATAAAATCCTCTGCAGTTAGCTAGTTATATGCATTCAATTTATATCTTCATTGATACATACATGATAGACAGATAGAGTAAGGAAAATACTGATGGACTCGTTCTATCTTTCCAAACTAATGAGCTATCCTACTTCCACCATGTTGTGGTTTGGTATTTTGCCTACTAGCTATAGTTACTAGTGGACCTTTGATTCTACAACTGCCGTATATTTTGGGGGGAAGGGGGGAGGACTGTATGGTATATAAATTAAATAGTGATGCTCTCAGATTCTTCTTACAGGTTTTTTAGTAAACTTTACTCTGTTTTTCCAGTGACTCAGATTGTTCACACCTGATGGTGTGACATCATCATTTTCTTCCACGACAGCAGAAAACTTAAAGAAATTTTGCTTGAGATTATGATAATAGAATACCAGTTCTGACTGCATGTCGTAATTAAAATTTCATCTGAATTGAGAAATGCATCCTGTCTTCACTTCCTTTAAAACCACATCTTTTAAGTTTCCTAAAAACTATAGTTTTGTGGGATATAACTAAACCCTTTGCTTGCTTTAAATCAGCATGTAACCTTTTGAATACCTTCAATCTGTTTAGGGAATTGTTTTATGTTTTCAATTTGTCTATGCTTGTACCGTGTTCAATGTGTTCATCCTGCTCAATCTTGTTTGCCATAGGCTATAAAACTCTGGTGGAAAAATGTGCGTTTTGTCCAACACCCTAGATATAACATTCCCACATATAGGGAGGAAGCTTTGATACGGGATAAAACAGTGCAGTGTTGTGGACTTAGTGATGATATTAGGCATCTGCAACAAAGAGAAAGCGACCAAAGTTGTTTAGCTGAAGCAAGTTCCAAAAACCGATGGTTTAGATGGAGAGATGCTAAGTGGCCATGGTCATAGAAAATAGTATGTATTTGTTTTATATTCTTGCTATACTTTACTAGTTAAGGTCCTTGAAATATGTCATAATTACCCCGATTTCTTAAGGATAACTCAATAGTTAATAACATTATTTGATCATGACAACGATTATGACTATTTAAGGGTTTGATACGAAAAGCTTGATCTCCCTACAAAACCTTCAAATTCCCCATCTGTTTGATATTGGCTTGTTAGGAACTTCCAAATGTAGCAAAAGGAAATGTTATAAAGCTATCATTTTGTTGTTTTGATATCTTATGATGAAATAGAGTAATTCTTTAACCTGGTCATTTGAAAAATGGATGCTCAAATTTTGTTGAAAAAAAGGGTGTTGGAAGTAAATTTCTGTAGTCTTTAAACTGGATATTTTATTTTATTTTATAAGAATTTTGAACTGTTATTGTGAATAAAATTTATCATGGTTACAAGCTAGTTGTAGTTTTATAATATTTAACCTCCTTTCTTTTATAAATAATGCAAAGACACTATATGAAGAAATCGAGAGAAAATGAAATAAGCATAATCGAAGTCTTTTTCTTTAGGTACATGGTAGTTATAAAATTCATTTTACCTTTTAAAATATTCAGGTATTTTAAACCCTAAGAAATGTTTTAAATGAATTTGTTGCTGAATATGAAAGTTGTTAAATTTTGTGAAATGGTTGAGGTCTAGAGATTAATTTAACCATCTTATAAAAATGATCATATGTTTAATGCATGCATCCCATAATTTGTAGGCAGTAACACCATTGGAAAGAAAAACGAAACAAAAGGCTTCCCGAATTCTTAGAAAGTCTTGTCATGTGCAATTCAATGGCCTAACTTTTTTGAATTGTAAAAGAGAAAAATCAAATTAGATTGAACCCAGCACGAAGGATCCAGAACCTTGTCGTTCTGTCCCTTGATGAAATAATCTCAATTTGCGCAAAAAATACGACCAATCAAGCACGTGCAAAAGGCATAGAAGAAGGAAGAAAAATAATATAAAAATGGAGACGCTAGTTCACACAATTCTTTACATGCTTTCACACTTGAGCGAGATTCACGTAATTTCATCCATTTATTTTATTAAAAATAGTGGTAGTAATTGTAAATTAAACTCGGACTCCTCCTGATAAACTAATATTACAATCATACAATTTTTTTTTACAAGAGAATATTATAAAATCGTATTTGAGATGTTTTGTTCTAAATCATATATATCCACTTATTTGTTTCAAGAATTGAAGGGGGAGTTAATATCCCATGAGGAAGTTAAAATAATTTATAAAGACTTATAATTTAATATCTTAAATTTTTAGGTTAAAAATGACATATTTTTTATATAATTAGAATTAATTAAAAAAATTCTCATAACTTGATTAAAATGAAGTACATACAAAAATACATTAAATAAATCCTTATACCTTACATTAAGATTTTATATTAACAGAAGTCACTTTTGTGGTCATTTTTCTGAAGAGGTTTTTTAATGTAAAAAATATGAAGGAGATGATGGGATTGTATTGATTTTGAGTGATAAAGTGAAGCAGGTTCCAAAAGGGATGGTGGTGCCTTGAACTTGCATATGTTAATGTTCCTACAAATGAAAGAAAATAGGAAAGTATTGGGCACGTGGTTTAGTTTAGAAGTCGGAAGTGGACACAACGTTGTCGCATCCAATGTTATGTTTTTTCTTCTTTTGGGTAAACATGTGCCCAATGTTCTCTTCTTCATGTGATGTTTACGCCACCTCTCTTTCGCGATGTTGCAAGTCAATTCGGCATGCCCACGTGACCTTCGTGCCAATTACCTAATCAAACTAAAACACCTAATTAATCCCTTCTAATGTGTCTTAATAAGATGCATAAAATGAAGCTAAGGAATTTATTTAAGCAATTTCTATTCACTAACTAAGCCTATTTTAATATGTTATTTGAATGGATAAAAACTAGAGAAATAAAACTCTATGATGGAAAGAAATAAATTAATAAGATGTTATATTTAAAAACTATACAAAATGTTCATTATATTATTTTTATGTTGTCAATAATACTAAATTTAAAAATAAAATTAAGACCGTCTTTGTTTTTATTCTTAAACAATAAAACTCTCTCTTCCTTATTTCACTTTCTTTATTCCTTTTCCTCTACTTTTATACATAATCAAACTAGGATTTACTTCAAACTACGTCCAATTAAAATCATAATCAATAATTAGTAGTTTTCTGTAAGTAAATTCAATCTACCGCCATAAATAATTCATATTAATTAAAGCCCACAACTCCAAATGAATCTGATAAACTTCCAATTCATCGTCATCCATCCCAGCTGATTAAGAATATGAACTGAATGAATGGTTTATAATCAGGAAAATATATAGGAACAAATTTTAATATTGTATAAAATAAAATAATTATTAGATTTAAAAGATATTTATAAAAACATATTAATTTAAAAGTAATTAGAAATAAAACTTCTCATATATAGTGCTTGATACTCTGATTCCCATCAAATAAAAACGAGGGTAAATATAGATACAATTTTATAACATGAAGATGGAAATACTAGTACATGTGTAATTAATAATTAACCAAAGGTTAATGATTAAGAAAAGTGCGGAGGAATAGTATTATTACTGTATTTAGTTACTGTATCAAAACAGTTACGTTAAGTGCGTGGTCCTGGTTAAGAAAATGGTAAGGAAACGGGGTTTGGATTTTTTATGCACGAGAATAATGATTTTGGAATCGGTGGTGACAGCGTGGCAATGAGAGGCAGCGACACGAATTACAAGTGGCGTCTTGTAGGGTGGCACACAACCTATACACAAACACACTTAACATAACATGTGACTGAAAATGTTTTAAAAGCGTGGAACACGTGCTCAAATTGTACATAACACAAGACACCGATTTCTATCCCTTTCGCTCCACTTCCATCACCGCTTCCCCGCGGATAATTTTTTTCCTTGTGCTTTACGTGTTCTTCTGGGCAAGTAAAATCAACCTCTCTTCCTCATATTATATATATCATAATACATCTTTTATTTTCGCCCTACCATAATCGTCTTCGCTTTCTCTCTATCTCGAAATCTTCACACTCTTTGGTTTTCACACATAAAGAACAAAGATGAGGAGAAACTGCAACTTGGAACTTGCCCTCTTCCCTCCCTGCGATTCTGGCCCTCGCCACCACCCCATGTAAGCCACTTTGTAAACTATTTTCATTCTCTTCTTCTTGTGTTTTGTCTTATATGTATATATAACTGTCATTTGCGTATTGAATTCTTTGCTTTTGGCCTGAAAGGGTTGAAGAAGGCAGTGAGATCAGCCCAATGCAAAACTACCTCCATCATCACCACCGCCAGGAACAGCAACAACCACTCACAATATTCTACGATGGCAAGATTTGTGTTGCGGATGTCACAGAGCTTCAGGTATGTATATTTATGCAGAAGTTACTTTTTCTCTTTTAAATTATTTCCTTTGAGCATTCGTGTGGCCTTCTGTTTGATGATGGTATATATATGTGCTTTTCTGGAAACTCTTCTGGTATTTCCAATGCAATGAGATATAGCAAATGTGATGTAGGATCTAGTAGATGATCAGATTAGCAGTATAATAGGCATTACGAAGGGATCAACATACTGATTTAGTCTAATGACAAATGAGGTGTACTCTCATCCTTAGTTTAATTGGTTTCAATTTTAGATCAACCAGTAAGAGAATTAACGAGTCCACGGTATTCCAACTTCATTTCTTTAAATCCAATGAAGAAGAATCTGACGACAACACTAATAATTGAAGAGCTAAATTAATCATCAAATTTGCTCTGCACTCGTATTTAAAGGATGCAAAAGAGAGTTTATTTCAGAGTTCCCAAAAGTAAATAGCAAACCTTGAAATATTTTACTCATCACTCATACTTTTGTTATATATATATATATATATATATATATATATATAAACGTACATAAGAAAATATTAGTGATGTTTCTTTATAGGACAATACTTGACCAATTAATTTTAGACTTTTCTTTTTAAAAAAGAGAAATTGAATCAAATACAGATTTAGAAAATTGAGTTTTTTTTTTAAATAAAAAGTTAAAAAGAAAAGCTTAGAAAAATCTAACTTTAGAGAAAGTTTATTCCTTTTTTTATTTTTATTTAAATCAGGCATTATTGAAGTTAATAAGCATTGATTACATGAAGGTTGAACCGCGTGGTATAGGGATATTATAGCGGAGAGAAGATGATGAGATTTAAAAAAAAGATATGGTAGTTGCCGACAAGTTGTTGCTGGAGCAGTAGAAGAATTTAAAATATAAGATTTTGAAAAGAATAAAGGAAACGGTAGGTGACTTGCTGGATGGAGTTTGATGTGAAACCGGGCATGTTTTTTGTGTTGTCTAGTATCTCCCAAATTTGATTTTCATACTTTGTCAAGTTTCCAAGAAACTTCATAATCCACCACTGTAGACTTGTTCTTTGACTTCAAAAATTGCACGCAACTTGTGTTTACTGATACGCTCCGCTTTCCTTTTTTTCAAAGAGCAAACCAATTAAACGGGTCAATTGTCAGTATCCACGTATACCACTGTTTGTTTTTTGGAGGAATTAATTTCACGTGCATGACATTGACATGAGTTGGTATGTGAACGATGTGCAGGCCAAATCTATTTTAATGCTTGCAAATAGAAAATTGGAAGAAAGAGTGAGAACAGCAAGTGGGTCAGAGCCATCTTCACCAACAGTCATGCAATCTCCTACTCAGTTGCATAGTCCTGGCACTGCCCTTTCCATGAGAAAATCTCTGCAACGCTTCCTTCAGAAGAGAAAGAACCGGGTCCAAGAAGCATCACCGTACCATCGCTAGTTCATTATCAAAAGAAGATGCCAAATGAAATTTGTTTACTTACTTGAGAAGACGATCTTGTTAGAATCATTCACTTATTTCTTTCTTTAATATCTTTGTTAAGATTACAAGTTCGCACCTTTTTGAGTGTTCATTTTTGTCTTGTACACACGCTGTAAATACTTCGTTTACAAACTTTAATTATTTTAAAAGCTTTGTTTCTTTTTAAGCTAGATCCACGTCCTTTAATCTCCTTTTTTACTTATATAAGTTTTTTTTTCATCTCATTCATTCATTATATAATATTTAATAAAAGTAGCATAAATATTTTAACAAATAACTGTTATTTTCAAAAAATTTGTTGTGTCATGTAAAAAACATTTTGATAGAAATTATTTATAAACAAAATATTATTTTAATATAATATTTTAAATTTTTTAAAAATTATAGTAATTTTTCTTTAGACCCTATAATTTTTCAATTAATTCAATCAAATAAGATTATTTAATCATCTTTCCTTTTAACAAATAATCATACAATTTTATATTTTTCTCCTTATTTTTATATATATTATTATTTAAAAATTAAAAATTCTCTAAAAGTTCAACACTTAAAAATAAATGAGGGAATAGTTATACACATCTTAAAATATAAAGACAGGATAAAATTTTGTGTTTTCCTTGTGTTTCTCTTACATAGATTACTAAAACAGTTACAATCTTAAAAGACTCTGATGCATAGATGTTGTATAATGTGTTTTTGGTTCCCTCAATACATAGCAGTGAAAACTAAAATCCATTCAAAGAATAGTAAAAGTGTAATTAAATTAGTTTGAGTTTTTACACTGCAAATTAAATAACAAATGTACAAGTTTTATTGGATGAAGATGAAGCATTTGGAACTTAAAAAGAAAAAAAGTAATGAGCAGTTGTCAGAATTTCCCCAAAACCTTGCTGTTTGATTTGAAAACACTATGCTACCTGAGATAATGTTGAACTCATGTTTTAGAAAAATATAAAATTAACTGAGTTTTAACTGCATCAAAATTCTTATCAGACTCAACTTGCAGGACAATACATGGTCTGCATTTGTACTGTGGAGAAATTACTGGTTGAGAAGATCTCAATGCATATTCGTCTTCATCCACCTTACAAAAGTTTTCCTCTTCGAAGCCCCTTCTTCAGAGAGAAAAATATATATTATGATCATATTATAAAAAATAAGTTACTCTACATTTTACTATTTTCTCTTAATCTAATCATTTTAATGAATAACTTTTTATCGACTGAGAATTGCAAATAATTCTTTTAAAAAGTTACTAAAATAAAGGATAAGGATGATGGGAATTTGTTTTATAAATATTACTGAAGTAATATGTTTAGATTTTAAAAATCCAGTATTTTTATTCAATTTTCAATATTGCATACATTTATTTATTTTATTTTGGACAAATTTAATTATAAATCTTATCATATTCCTTTAAATATTATTAAATAAATAATAATTTAAATTATATCAAATAAACAAATAAAATATGTGTAAAACCGAGATTTAGATTAACATTATACATTTTCTAAACACATGGACCAAAATCGCGGTAAAAAAGAGTTTAGCCTAAAAATAGATACTAATATACGAGTGATATAGTAATAAAATTAGTTACTATTAATGAAATATATAATTATTAAAAAGCATTAATGAATATATTTTATTATATAAATTTATTTCTTTGTTATTTAACGTAAGATAATAGTATTACTATTTATTGTTTTATTTATAAAAAATATTATTATTTACATGTTAAGTTACTTTAATATTAATATTGTTGGGATAAAGATATTTGATTTCTATGTTTTTCAATTTGGTATCGAGAGCGTAAGCTAAATTTGGTCTAGTGTATGAGAGATACATCAATCTCTTTGTAAGTCTATGATATTTTCCCTTGTTAGTTGGAGTTTGATTTTCTTCAATGCACAACTTCAATCCCTCTTTAATTGGAGAATTTGCTGGTTTGCATGTTGTCATTCCAGTTTCTTTTAGTAAATCCAATGCATACTTTCATTGTGAGAGAAAAATACCTGACTTTGATCTTGAGACATCAATTCCAAGAAAATATTTCAAAGGACCAAGATCCTTCATCTCGAATTCCTTTGCCATGTACTCTTTCAATGTCTTGCGTTCCTCTAGATCGTTTCCCGTAATTATCATGTCATCAACATAGACAATAAAAATTGTAATTTTTTCTTCCTTTTTCTTTAGAAACAAGGTATGATCTTGGTTACTTTGTTAGTATCCAAAAGCAAGCATTGATTTGGTGAATCTGCCAAGTCATGCTCATGACGATTGTTTTAGTCCATACAATGACTTCTTCAACTTGCATACATTCTTGCTACATGTATTTGGGATCCCACATCCTTCTGGTACCTCCATATAAACTTCTTCAGACAATTCGCCGTGTAAGAAGACATTTTTTACGTCAAATTATTGTAAGGACCAATCAAGGTTTACAGCTAGAGATAACAATACTCGAACTGTACTAATTTTGGCTACGGGAGAAAATGTTTCAGTGTAATATATTTCATACAGTGTGCAAGAAGTTTTAGCTGACTCTAGGTGGAAGGATGCTATGAATGAGGAGATGAGATCCTTGCAAAAAAATTTTGTATCAGAGCTTATAACTTTTTGTTTCTTGTTTTTCCATGTAACAAGATTACCTTCTACAAATATAAAATATCCAGAGATTGATCTTCTATCATTAAGAACATCTGCCTAATCTGATCTCAATATCAATTTCTTTAGAACAAATATCTGAATTTCCTCGTAATTCTCAAAATCTTCCTGGTTATATATACATGAATTTATAATAGGTCAGCTAGTTATTTATTTTCTTTAAAAAATAACATTATCAAATATCGCCTTTTCTATTACTTTCATGAGACACGTTCTTTTAATATAATATGTATCTGCGATTTTAAACTTCATTTTTAATATATATTTTTTCGTTGTTTATGGCCGCGTGAATCATATGGTCATAAACTGATAATTGATCCGAAAAGATTGGTTGAGAAAGATAGGTTTTTCCTTTGTGGAGTCTAACGAACCACCCTACACACTTCTTTTATTTATTATGGAAAAAGTAATCCAATATGAAATTTTTTATTTTATTTTAACCCTCGTGTAAATCGAACCTTCAATGTCTTGAATTTGATAAATTTCCATAGAAAATCCCCTCAATGACTGTGTTTGTCTGGAAAATTGTAGTCAAGTGGGAACTCAATCACACCAAGCAAAATTACTTTAATGTGTCTTTAAATTAATTTGTAGAAAATATGACAAATCAAATGTAAATGTCATTGTTGTTATAATTATTAGTACTGACAATTGATGTCATTTGTTTTTTTGTTACTAAGTTAAACGGTGACAAAAATATGCTCTACTAATACTAATCGTGTTTATCTTTGAAAAGTAAAGAACATGATATTAGTGAGTATAGTTTTTAGAGAATGAAAACCAGTATTTACTTCAACATTATAAATGGAAAAAAGTTTATTAAAGAAAAAGCTTCTCAGATATGATCAAATATAATTTTAAAATACCCATAACAATTTTTTTATATATAAAAATGTATCTTCTAAACAAGTTATACTGCAAACTTTTTAAGAAAATAATTCAAATGTTGTATAAGATGAATAGACTGAATGAAGAACAAAAAAGTGGTTCAGACCCCACCATAGGCGTCCCCACCCAGGCTATAATAGGTTCAGACAAAACTTGCATGCGTACAGGGATGACATTGACAACTCTATTCTTCTCATGGTACCCCCAGACAAACATTCATTTAGGTCTGCATTGGGTGATTTTGAATATTAGCCCACCGCATCATCTAATGGCTCAACTAACAAGTTACGCTACATACTATATACAATATACATAGGAGAGTGGATGATTGATCCAAAAATATATATTAAAGAGATTCACACTCACTTCACACTTTGTTTAGAGACTGTTAAAAAAACAGAGAATAACAGTCAAAAACGTGAAAAATATAAATTACTAACTTCTTATGTGGAATGTAAAATCAAGCACACTCTTGTCAGTGCTAAATTATAGCAGAAATGTGAATAAAATATTATGAGACTGAAAATAATATATGAAATGTGCAACCAAAGATGCTATGAATTAGAAAGTATGTTTTGAATTGATGGCTTTTTCTCCATACATATATCTTAAATTGGCATTTCATATGGTACATGGATATGATAAAAGTCTGGCAATTATATAAAACAATGCTTCACAATACAAAGTAGATGGGATAGAACAAGGAAATACGGACCGTGACTTTTTCTTTTTCTATTTTCCTCTGTTGTATTCTACACTAGTACTCATTCTGTTGAAACTTTGCGAGTTGAAGGTAAAGCTTGGGAATTTCTTACAAGATTCTCTGTGTCTCCCTCTCTTGCAAAACAAGTTCTGAGGTGTGGATTTTTATTTTTTTTTAATGTTGGCAGCAACAAGGGGTGGTTGCGGCATGCTCATTTATATCAGACACCGACAGTACTGTGTTCCTGCCACTTTTTTCTAAAGGCTGCTACAGACAACAACACTCGGGGATAGGACTCTGGAGTTCAGAGGTAGCTTTTCCCAAAAGATACAAAAATAAAAAAAGTCCAATTGTGAATCTTCAACTTTCACCGTTGCATGCAACCAGTCCTATTAATTGAAGCCGGTAATAGGCTGTCAGACACCATTACACTGCATTAATTGATATTTTTTATGTGAATAATTTCCATGAACATCACCAACGAACACTATCTATGTAGATTTTAGTAAAGCATTTTACAAAATACAGTCCAAGTGTTACAAAAACAAATTCAGGAAACTAATGGTAAAATATAAAACCAAGGAAACAAACATGGCTTCTACATCCAGCCGTGACGAACTTGAACTTATGTTGCTTTGGTAGAATGATGGCTGGATTCCTGCTGGATCTTCTGGTGCTCCTTCAGCGAAAGATTTGCCATTTCTTGGCTTGGTATTTACACAAGAGGGGATTTCCAAATATGAAGACAGGTTCTTCTTTGGCTGATCGCTGATACAAAGTTCAGTGTTTCCTCTAACATCCAACCTTTTACCAAGTTTTCTAATGAACTCATCAGGGAGCTGAAGAACACCATTCAGCATGTTCTGGCTCATGTTCAGTTGATCCAAGTTAGGGAGCAAACCTAGATTTGGAGGAACTGGTCCACTAAGACTATTGTTATCAAGGGAGAGAGCTGTAAGGTTCTTCAGAGATGACCAGGAATTGGGTATGGAGCCAATCAAGCCACACCCTGAGAAGCTCACTGACTTCAGCTTGCAAAGGTTCCCAAAGAAGTGAGGTATCTCTGATTTGATGGGGTTGTCGTCAATGAGAAAATATTCTAAAAGCTCTAAGTTTGACAGGGTTTCAGGAATTGGCCCACCAAAAAAATTGTGACTCAGATCAAGCAAGACTAACCTCTTGAGGTTTCCTATATCAGGAGGTACTTTTCCTGTAAGCCTGTTTGAGCTCAAATCCATCTTCTGAAGAACTTGAAGTTGTCCAAGTGAACTAGGAAGTCTCCCTTCAATTTCATTCCAACTGAGATCTAAAATGGCAATACTATTTAAATCTCCAATTTCCTTGGGGATTTGACCAGTGAAATTATTGTAACTCAGGTCAAGTTGCTCCAAACTCACCAAACCGCCAATCTGTCTTGGAATGTTTCCCTCGAAACTGTTCTGAGACAGGCTCAGGACTCTAAGACTAGTAACACCTCCCAAACTTGGAGGTATTTCTCCAGAGAGTGTTGGATTAGACTGCAATGCCAGGTGTTCTAAGGTAGAGAAAGAACCAAAGAGGGTTGAGGATAGATTGACGGGTGAAGCAACAAAACAGTTAAAAATTGAAAGTGTTTTCAAATAAGTGAGTTTCAGCAGGGACTCAGAAAGGTAAGCAGAAGACTTGCAAGGTGGGGAGAGTATATCAGGACCAATGTGAATCTTTGTGACATGAAAAACGGGTGGGTCATTGCTAACTTCACACTCAACTCCAGGCCATGGGGTGTCAGTACACGGTTGAGGGTGTGCTTGTGCCCAGTCAGGGTCATCCACAAGAGCATCCATCACTTCAAACAACCCCAACAACTCCTCCTCTTCCATTACCATTTCTTCCCCGTGTATATTGCTCCCCATTCCCACCATTCCACAAGCAAACAAAAGGAACAGAACAAGAAGGGAGAGAGAGGCCATTTGAGACTATGTGTGAGGGGTACTAGAAGAAGGCCAAGCTGAGACAAACTCAAAATGGAGTTGCAAAGTTCGGTGCTTTGGAGGCAAATGAAAAGCCAAGATCCACTTTCTCTATATGAGATTTCTTGAATAGTGTTGATGGCAAAGGAGAAGAATGTAAAGGTAACTCTAAGCATCTCATTTTTTGTGTGTCAGCAGTGTGAAGGCTACAAGGAAAATGCCAAGGCTGGCTGTCTCCTTTGGGTTCCCCAATTTGCAATTGTGAGTATGACAGTGTTAGTTTGCATGGGAAAGAGAGAGAGATGGGGAAAGACAAATTGGTTACTATAAAAGGTAATATACATTTCCAGAACAGTTTAATGGTTAATGCAGAGAAATGCATAATAGCATTGATAAGACACGACTGTGTAAGCCTGCAACAAGAGTAAAGTAGAAAGAGAGATTATCAACTCAGACCCATAACCTACATTCTTTCTCTGTTCAATCAATCAACCAATGCAAGACAAAACCTTTTTCAGTTTTTGAAGTATTCAAACAAAAAAAATGGTTTCATTGCCCAGTTAACTGCTATTCTTTATCCTTTTCCGAGTGTGATCTTATGACCTATACTGCCCCTCCTTGTTGTTCTTCTACGCTACATAATTTACCAATTTTATCTATTATTAAAATTCTGAGAGAAAGTTTTGAACTTCAAATTAAACCAAATTCCCATTTCACTTGTAGTACAGTACCATATTGTTGTTTTTTTCCAAGTCCACTGGTATTAGAATTTGGGTACATGCCAATACCCTTGATATTCGAATACTACTACACACATATTTGGCATTCAAATTGGGGTTGAACTAAATATGATTTTTTTCTTCTTCTTTTAATTCTATTATTATATACTCATAGTTCTTTCTTTTTCTTTTTTTCTACAAATGTACCCATATACTTTAGATGTGAATATTCAATCTCAACTGAATATTTTCAATATCAACTCTCCTTTCCAATAAGTTATGAGGGCACGTGACTTTTATTGTCCTTTGTATCTCACTTTTTTTTTTCACTTTTTTTATTGTTTTTAGATATAATCCTTGAATTTAATTTAATTTAATTTTTTTACATATTATAAACTGAAAAAAATTAAAGATAATATGTCAAATAAAATTTTCCTTTTTTTTACATATTTAAAATATGTATTATTTTATTCCTATATAATAATAAAAATTCTTTATTATTCACGCTAATGTTTAAAATACATGATTTCATGTGTTTGGGCTGTGATGTATGATGATGGAGTGAGGCCCAAGATATTTAAATAGTAATTAATATTAATAATTATGTGTATCCTAAGGCTATCTCATGTAATGCCTGTGACTATGAGTGACCCTTCTGGATTTGCTATGGCTCTGTTGCTGTGTGAAAATGACAATGCTAGGGAAAAGGAAATGAAATGAGTCACCTTTAGAAATTTCACACCTCCTATGAGTGAAAGTAGGGTCCATTGGATTATGCTTTGATCAACAAAACTTAGGTGTTAACCTAATAAAGTCTGACCAGAACTATTTTGATCCAAGTTGGTAATGAGTGGAACATTTATAGTCCTAGTTGAAGAGATCAAAGGAAATTGCCTAATTGAAGAAAGTGAAGATGATTGGTGATTTGAACAAGTATGTTCCATTAATGCACAATGTTCTTCAATATACGAGAGATTCAATGAAGTCTTAGGAGAGAATTTGAGTTGGAATGGTGTGATATGAGAAATTAATTGAAGGAGGGAGAGTTTCTAGATAGAAAAAGGAGTTTGGGTTTTTTTCACCAACCACGCGGAAGCCCTTGCAAATTTTAGTAGGACCATGTTCTAAATTGATGTTACACGACATTTAACATAAAAAATATACACACATTAATTAAAAACAAATAATGAAAACTTGGTGAACCTTTTATATTCATCAATCATATTTTTAAGTGGTCCACGTTGACATGGGTCACTTTCAAGTGATACATAAAAATGATAAAATGTGCATTATGAAGCATGACCATGTACCTCAGACAATTCCAAAAAACAAAATAAGAGCACACAAAAATTAAATTATCTAAGATCCTGAGATTCTTTACTAGCACCATGTTTGAAACCCTAGGATTGTAATGTTGATTATCCATTTTTGTACTATTGTTTGATACGCCTTCCTTTTATGAATGGTATGTGTTCATAAGCTTTCAGTTAGTAATGTCTTCATCATATTCATGTTTCTTGCCATGGAATAGTGTTTCAATGTTTTTGGTAATTCCTAAGATTTTATTAGGGTTGTTTTAGGGATTATTGAAAAGAGATTAACGATGCGAGAGTCGTTCTAAAATTTACAAAGAAACGAAGGATATTTTAGGTTTCAAATGTTTTTCTGCTTTTTGTTTTAATATATAATTGTAAAATTCTTACATTATTTTGACTTTATTCTATAATTTCAAATATTTTTTAAGAAAATAATAAAATAACAAAATATTTTTGTAATTTTTGTTAAAATGAAAAAAAAAATTTAAAACCTAGCATCTTCTTATGCTATAATGAGTTACCGTTATAAATTAATACCAAGGTAATCGACCTTATTTCAAGAAGTTGATTGACAGGGGGTAAATTGCAATAAACCACAATCTTCACATAAAAAAAAATAAAAAGTGCACAAATCCTTCGACACTTTGCAAAGTGAACAAAACAATACTTGACTGCAAAGTGTAAAATTTTATACGAAGTAAAAATTATAATTAAATAAAAACCTAATTTAAGATAAGATTAAATCAACATAATTACAATGAATAGTGTGCTATCTTGTATCAATTTTTTTAAAAGTACTTAATATTCTGTAACAAAGATTGAAACTAGAGGGCATATTAATCCTTAATTAATATCTTGATACCTTTTCTTTTCTTTTCTTTTTTATTCTCTTTCTTTATGTATAAAAAAAAGTGTAAAAGAATAATGTCCTAATTTGGATTAAATAAAACCTCAAATTTTAGAAAAAAGTTATAAAATTTTTATTGAAAATACGTTAAATTTTATATAGTAATATGATTTTAAACCAAAATAACTCAATAATCGAGGATTCAAAAAATTCAGTAATACCCCTAAAGTGATTGGTGTATTTTATTTAGGTGAGGAAATGTGTTGTTGCACCAGTTGATTAAACATTGAATTTTTTTTTTCCTTTTTATCAAATTCAAATCGTCACATACATGCATATACTTTAATCGCAATTTCAATAATTTATTTCAACATGTTAGTCACTTGTAAAAAAACAAAACAATCACAAGTCAAATAAATTTAAAGAAAAATATTTATCTTTCTTACAAATGAAAAAAAAACGTTATTTTTCATTCTAACTCATACCATTTTTCACTCATATACTTTTCAAAAAATATTTCGAAAGGGCAAGAAAAATAAGTTTAAGTTATCACTTTTTATTAAAATTTATTCATTCTTATATATGATTTTATTTTTATTTGGATGTATTTTGATAGAATATGATAAATATAAAAACTATTATAAAAAAATCAAAATAAATAATTTTGTATGTTTCATTTTTTTTTATAATGTGATACTATTTTTTTAATTTAAACTTACATGTCATTTAGAAAAAAGTATAATTTTATGAATCATTTAGATATTTATATATATTATTAAAAAAATATGTTAATTTAAAAAAATTATCTCATTCATAAAAAATAATTAATAATTATATAAGTAATTTTGTAATTATAAATATTTGTTTAATTTTAATATTTAATTTATGAGTTAAGTATATTTTTAGTCCATGTACTTTAATGTGAAATTAAAAATAGTTCTTCTATCAAAATTCACATAGAAATGATCCCTATATTTTTGAAATGATTGGAATAGGTTCCTATTTCAAACGATGTTAAATATATGGTGACTTGTATAACGAGATATAATATGACACATTCATTATTTGACACGTGTAATTATTTAAAAAGAAACAAAGTTCTTCTTAAAAAAAATAGAAATTATTCAACGAGATATTATTATTTAAAAAAAAAATAAAAGTATAAGTTTTTCTTTTCTCCTCACGCACCAAAGCTCTTCAGTTCTCGTCACAACCACTTTTCATTCTCTATTCTTTTCTCGTCACATCTACTTTTCATTCTCTCTTCTTTTCTCGTCACACACCAAAAGTCTTTTCTTTCTTCACCTTTCTCTGTAAAAGTTGTTTGAAATCAAAATGACTTTGAAGTTCAAGGGCTTCATCAGTTCGTTGTGGTTCGATTGACAGTGCGACGGTGGTGCACAAATAGCAGTGTGCGATGGTGGTATACCATAGCTAGGGTTTTCTTTTTAAATGGCTTTTAAATGACTTTTATATATTTTAAATGGGGGTTTAAATGACTTTTAAAAGTTTGACACATTTTAATTTTATTTTATTTTTTTTAAAATAATTACACTTGTCAAATAATGAATGAGTCATACTATTTACGTTAGACAAGTCAGCATATACTTAACGTCGTTTAAAATAGGAACCTATTTCAAAAGTATATGGATCATTTTTATGTGAACTATGACATACAGACTATTTTCAATTTCACATGAAAGTATAGGGACTAAAAACATACTTAACCCTTAATTTATTTATTTTTAATATATATATATATATATATGTATATATATATATATATATATATATATTCTATTTTATTTCATCTATATTTTTTTGTTTTTTTTTCGAATAAATTTTTTTCAAGTTTCAAACATCACTTAATACGATTCTAAATTATGTTTAGACTATTAATTATAAAGTTTATTGATGTATACCTGATATTAGTTTACTAATAATTTATTATATTTTAGTTTAAACCCAATCAATGGTCGATTCATATAGAAATAATAAGTGATTTTAGGTACACACTTGTCTATATATTTTTTTAAGGATATATAGATAGTGGGGTGAAGACTGAGAACAGTGGATACAAATTGTTTAATGGCTGACATTTTCAGTGTCTAACTGAAT